TGCCAGAGGTCGCCGGTGACGACAGAGAGAGCTTCGTGGACGCCGGAGTTGGTAAAGAATGGGTAGAGCTCCCCGTGGCTATTGGATCTCGGAATTATTCTCCCTGTTGCTAGGTCCTTCAAGGAAAAGCTGGACGGATCAAACTCGATAGAAACAAAATTATCTTGTGTAAAACGGCGCACGGAGATTAAATTCTTGATAATAGTAGGGGAAACGAGAATGTCATTGAGAGTAAAATTGGAGAGAGATGTGGAGCCGACGGCAGTAATAGGAATACGCGAGCCGTCGCCTACGAGGATGCCTGAGGAGCGACGCATAGAGGGAGAACCATACGAGGTGAGAGAGCTCGTCTTACCAGCGACGTGCGACGTAGCGCCCGTGTCGAGGAACCAGTCCGGTGCGCCGCCGGCCTGCTGGTGCTACACAGAGAGGTTCTGAAGCGCGGCGTACAGCTGGTTGTACTGCTCCCAAGACGGCCCGTTGGAGGAGGCCGCGATGGCCACCGGGTAGGCCTGATGAGGAGGCGACGGACGCGGGCCTAGAACACCCGCAGTGTTCGGTGCAGCCCAAGGTGCGCGAGGCTGAGGAAGACCTGGAAGAAGCGCCACGTATGGGGCGAAGTAGCCGGTGGGCAGCGACGAGGACGAGCCGAAACCGGAAGGAGCTGCACTGCGGCCGGAGGAGGAGCCGCCAGGAGTTTGGGTGCCGAGGCCACGGCCGCGCCCACGCCCACGTCCGTGCCCTCCGCGGTCGCGATTCACTAGGCTGCGGTGTGGCCGGCCCCTTGCCCCGATCGGTGGAGGCGCGATCAGGGGTGCGGTCGGAGGAGGAGCCGCCCGGGCTGTGGCCGATGGTGAGTGCGGTGGCCGTGGCTTCAGGCCGTCCGTCAAGGCGCGCCCGCTCGTTGGCCGAAATCTCCTCCATGAGCAGCCTCGAGCGCGCCTGCACGAAGGTTGGGAACGGCGATTGCATCGGCAACAGAGTAGCCATGACGTGAAACTTACGGTTGAGACCGCGGATGAGCTGAAGTGTGAGGGACTGGTCGGTGACGCGCTCGCCGACGTCCTCGTGGGCATCCGCGAGGGACTTGGGACGCCTGCTGTATTCGGCGACGGAGAGGTCGCCTTGGACGAAGTTGCGGAACTCCGCACCGAGGATGACGGCGCGCCCGGGCTGGTTGTCCATGAAGAGGAGGTGGAGCTGCGACCAGATGTCATAGGCGGAGCTGGCCAGGGTAGCGACAGCATCGAGGAGGTCGTCGTCGACCACGCCATGCATCCACAACACGATGGTGAGGTCGTCGTTCCTCCACACGATGCTCTGGCCGAGTGGCTCGGTGGCGATGTCGAGGTGGTGCTGGAACTCGTACTTGCAGGCGATGACGTAGAAGAGTTGGCGCCAACGGGAGTAGTTCCCCGACTCCAGCTGGAGCTTGAAGGTGAGTAGTGCGCGATGGAGGGCGGGAGACTGGCAATGGAGGAAGGGCCTGCGTCAGAGGCGCCCCCCACGCGGCGAGGGACGATGGCGCCGCTGGTGCCGCCGAGTGCGAGACGGGGAGCAGGAGTACTGTCGGTGGTGCGAAGAACGCTCGTAATGGGCGTGGGAGCCAGGCGGGGTGCGGACGAGGAAGAGGCCATGGCGCCCTCGGGAACGGGCGTCTTGCCCCGGTCAGACGCGAGGGGTCCGGGGAGCGCAGCGGGGGCAGTGGCGATCGAAGGAGCGGTGGCCGCGGGCGCCGGTGCGGCGGGCGCGGCGGTGGCGAGGGGCACCGCGGTGAAGGGAGCGGGCGCCGGCGCGTGGAAGTCTGCCGAACGGGTGCGGCGGAGGAGGCAGTGCATGGTGGAAGCGGAAGCAGGAAGAGGACCGGAGGTGCTCGGCGTCTGATACCAAGTTGAGTAATGCAATCCCACACCCTGCTTTATTCATGACTCAAGTGTATACTTATATACAGATTACAGCGACGGGAGAGAGAGAGAGCAGGGAGATCGTGTGAGATACAACGACATGGGCCGGTAATCCTCCTGGCATGCAGGGATAAGCACGCACGCAATGCGTGCCCGTTGGAGCTCCTGGCGATGCAGTCATGGAGTTTTTTTTGAGAGCAAGCATTAAGCTTTATTAAGCAACGACTTGGGCTAAATCGCCCATTACAGCGTCAGCTACAAGAGCTGGAACATCATCATCAGATACACGCACTCCTCCAGTGGGGAGAGATAACCCTAGCTTGGCTAATTGGTGGGCCGGCACATTTGCCTCCCGTCTACAATGGAGCACATCACACGAGGCGAACCAGAGATTCATTTGAAGCTTGAGATCCTCAATCAACTGTGCCTGCTTTGAGAAGTCCAGACCTCTTCTATTAAGGGCTTGTTCCACTAAAAGAGCATCAGTTTCGACAATTAGGCGCACTACACCCAGCTCTAAAGCAATATCAACCGCTTTTTGGACGGCGAGCAGCTCTGCGCCAAAAGCATCAGTGACATGATCGCTTCGACCCAAACGAGCTGCGACCATCGCCCCTTCGCTGTCCCGCACTATTACACCCCATGCACCAGTCTGTTCGCCAGGGATGTGGGCTCCATCAACATTGAATTTGAGGACATCGGTCGGTGGCGGGCGCTAGAGCTGCGGTGTTGCATGTGGTTTGCCTGTTTTGCAATAATAACCCTGATACTCCTCCAAAGTGCATGCAACCCTACAGGCGAATTGACCATGCTCCAGCGGTTTCTCGCCCTCCCTCACTTTGTTTCGCTGCGTCCACCATTGCCACCACATGACGACAATCAGCATCCGATCCTTCTCCGGTAAAGTCCACAAAGTGTCCAGGGTTGCACCTACAGACTCACATTCTTCTAGTTGTTGACGGGCATGCTTGAGATTAAGAGCCCGCCACACCTGTTTGATCTCCTTGCACTCCACAAACAGGTGTTTACCTGATTCGTTTCCGGAGTTGCACATGAAGCACTTGTGATTCTCAATAGTCATGCCCCTCCTACATAAGATATCCTTGGTGGCTAAAGTGTTGTGCGCCAATCGCCACCAAAAGTGCTTGATTTTCCCCGGGCAGGCCATACGCCAAATTCTCTTCCACTTGTCCTGACCCCCCTCATTCAGCGAGTCAGCCTCGTGCTGGCCCTCCCCAGCTTGTCCCTCATCGGCTTCCACAAGGGCTCTGTTTAGTTTGTACGCTTGTTTAACTGAGAAGAGCCCTTTGGAGTCGTAATGCCATGCCGCAAAGTCGACCGCACCATCTCGTAGTGGCATCTGAAGAATCAGCTCAGCGTCTTCCTCCCAGAAATTGTCTTGAACAAGCTCCGTATCCCATTGGCCGGTACCCGGATCAATTAGTTCCGACACCCTGGTTAGTAAACTTCCTCCTCTAGGCGTAATAACTCTTCTCTACCAAGCCCTCGGGATCCATGGATCTTCCCAAATCCTGATATTCGCCCCATCTCCAACCCTCCAGATTTATACCCTTGTTTATGAGCTCTATTCCATGGCAGATACTACGCCATGCATATGACATATTTGGGGCTGCTCCCGCTTCCAAAACCGAGCTGTGAGGGTAGTATTTGGCCTTCATTAGTTGTGCACATAGGATGTCGGGTTCCTGAAGCAGTCTCCACACCTGACGGGCAAGCATTGCAATATTGAAATCATGGATATCTCTGAAACCGAGACCACCTCGCCCTTTCGACCTAGTAAGTTTCTGCCATCCCACCTAATGGATTTTGTTCTGCTTATCTTGTTGGCTCCACCAGTACCGGGCAATCATGGCACTGATCTCCTCGCACAAGGTCTTGGTCAGGTAGAAAACGGACATAGCGAAGGTGGGGATAGCCTGCGCCACCCCTTTCACCAAGATTTCCTTGCCTTGTCTAGACAAGGTTCGCTCATTACAGCCTTGCATTCGGTTCCAGATGGCCTCCTTCAAATATGCAAACGCCTTCTTTTTGGATCGTCCAATGTACACAGGAAGTCCCAAGTACTTCTCGTTGTATGCCTCACTAGATATGTCTAGGATGGCCTGTACCGCCGCTTTGGACTGTGGTAAGAAATTCTTACTGAACATGATTGCCGACTTCTCGTGGTTTATACACTGGCCCGAGCATTGCTCATATATTTGCAGAATACGTTGCAGCTCCTCGGCTTCACTTTCTGTAGCTTTCATAAGCAGTACCGAATCATCAGCAAAGAACAAGTGCGATATGGATGGCGCCCCAGGGCAGATTTGTATGCCGCTGAACACTCCCCTTCGTTGAGCATCATTAAGCAAAGCTGACAGACCCTCTGCATATATGACAAATAGGTACGGTGATATTGGATCGCCCTGTCGAAGTCCCCTGGATGGCTCGAACTGTTCCGAAAGATCATCATTCACCTTGATCCGGTACCTGGCCGTTGACACACACTTCATCACAAGTCTCACCCAGCGTCGGTCAAAGCCCAGCTTAATCATCATTGCTTCAAGGAAAGACCACTCGACCCGGTCATAAGCTTTGCTCATATCCACCTTGACCGCAACATACTCTTTCTTTCCTCCTCTCTTGTTCATCAGGAAATGTGAGATCTCATAGGCCATCAAGATATTATCTGTAATTAATCTCCCGGACACAAACGCACTTTGGTTACCCGAAATGATCTGAGGCAGTACAAGCTTGAGGCGATTTGCTAGGACTTTGAAGATGATCTTGTATAAGACATTACACAAACTGATCGTGGAGTTAGCCAGCTGAGGAACGTGGCGTAGTGACTTTCCAACAGTTTTGTCCTCTGTTTTGTGCACTTATGTTGTCTATCATTTACATAGATTGTTTTTGTGTTGAAAAGTGGCAAAAAATCAATATGCAAACTAAGAAGTGTCACCAGATCAATTTCAATGTAATGAGTGGCAAAATGACAAAGTCCAAAGTAACCGGTGGCAAATAATCAAATCGCCCCCAAAAAAAAAACACCCTTGTGCGAGATTCCATTTCCACTTCTCGCCCGAAACCCCAGCCATGGCGATCGCCGCGGATTCCACCGCCGAGCAAGCCCCGAACCCTGCTCCCCACGAGCCTTCGGACGAGCCCCGCAAGGCTCCCGACCAGCCCGACCGTGGCGAGGACAATGGGGTCGACTTCGACGAGGAGGAGGACGATCCAGAGGAGCTGGACAGGCCGGCGGCGTACAAGGAGAAGGTGAAGGCCGTCTTCCGTCGCCTGCACGCCGAGCCCGTCCGCATCCGCGTCCACGACGTCATCATCAGGGGCAATTTCAAGACCCGCGGCTCCCTCATCGAGGAGGAGGTCGGCGACCTGCTCCGCTCTGCCGGTACCGTGCAGGGCCTGGTGCGCGCCTCCAGCCATGCCAACGCGCTGCTGCGCCGTCTCGACGTGTTCGACTCCGTCTCCATCACCCTCGACGCCGGTCCGCCGGGGTTCCCCGGTACTGCGAACGTCACCATCCAAGTCGTGGAGGCGGCCAGACCCTACAATCGTGGCATCTTCTTCTTCCCCAAGAAAGAGGTGAAGATCTCTGTAAAATTGCAAGCAAGTTCCTTCAGTTTGTTATTTCTTCCGTTAGTGATGTGTTGGTCAGATGAAGTGGTGCTGAATTAGTTTGGATTCGTTACTGCTACTATGTGTGTAATTTAATTATTGCATTGCTGGCATGTTCTAAACCAAGGATGCTCAAAAGTGGCCACTTTTTTAGCTACATTACCCGACTGTTGGTAGAATTAGAGGTAACACTAATCAGTAGTCATGTGCTGTTATTCATTGTATGAATAGGAAATTTTTAATGCTTGGAGTCTTACTTTGGTTGCTTTGGTGCGTTCGTTTATCACCTAAGTTAGCATCCGCCCTCTCGAATGAATACATCTATTTATCTTAATAATTGTGTAGGATTTGTATAGATTATCAGACACAACCATTTGGTGGTGTGGCTACACTCAATTCTTCATCTCTATTTGAGAACACTCAATTGGTTACCATTTTATTATCTTGAGTGAAGCATACAACTGTGAACCATCTCTTATCCACGAAAACCACTTGACTATTGTTGATAAGGAAACATATATTTTGACGGTTGATCTACAGCATAGTAAATACACCGTATTACGTGACGCCATTCTAGTCAGAAAACAGAACCATGCAAACATCTTATTATTTGGGTAAAATAGGTAAATTGGTTTGTTATGTGACGTCATTCTAATGTCTAGTATACACTTAGTGTTAACAACATAAGAGCAGAAGATTGCATTGGAGGTCTTGAGTAATACGTGCCTTCTTTTTTAACTGCATTCAGTATCTGAAATGTTTTCGGGAATGATGCTTATATTATATTCAGGTAATATCATGGCCAGTTGAAGGATGGTTCATGTTGAAGAACCTATTTGGTTACGGGGACATGTGGGATGTTTCAGGGGAATATGGTTGGGATCAGTCATCAAAGATAGACATTGGAGTGTACCTGCCAAGATTGAAATCAATACCAACACCTTTGACGGCTCGGGCATCAATCCTTTCCGAAGATTGGCTGAAGTTTTCATCATACAAGGAGCATCTTCTTGGCCTTAAGTTTGGTTTGCTTTCAACCTGGCACCATAACTTGTCTTATGATCTGGCATGGCGTACCGTAACTGATCCCTCACAAATGGCATCAGAATCCATAAGGAGGCAGCTAGGCCACAATCTGCTTTCTGCACTGAGTTATGCATATAAAATAGATAAAAGAGATTCAGAATTCCGGCCAACAAAAGGATATGCATTTGTCTCAACTTCTCAAGTTGGTGGTCTATGGAAAAATGGATTACGATTCTTCCGCCAGGTTCTTATGCAACTAACTTCTCGTGGTTAATCTTCCATGCAAAATTTATGCCTACTTTACCCTCATTGCATTTTTGGTTTCTATGTCAAACATTGAAGGGGAGCCTTGGCGCAGCGGTAAAGCTGTTGCCTTGTGACCATGAGGTCATGGGTTCGAATCCTGGAAACAGTCTCTTGCAGAAATGCAAGAAAAGGCTGCGTACGGAAGACCCAAAGTGGTCGGACCCTTCCCCGGACCCTCCGCAAGCGGGAGCTATGTGCACCGGGCTGCCCTTTTTAATATGTCAAACATTCAGTACCTACTGTTTATCTGCTTTGGGTCGGGAGCTACGTGCACTGGGCTGCCCTTTTTAATATGTCAAACATTCAGTACCTACTGTTTATCTGCTTTGTATTAGCTGCACTGTTAAGTAACCTGTGAAATAAATCAAGGAAAAAGAAGCCTAGGTGTTAATTGTGTGTTTTACCACTGCCTAGCGATTATATCACCTAAGCGCACACTTGAGCGTTTTGTTTTTCACCAAGTAACGCGCCAAATCCAGGAATGTGCTTTGTACCAGCATTACCATTTCATTAGAATACACCGTTAGATCGAATAATCCAAGAGTGATGGAGACCCTTACCACAATCAATAAGTAATTTCTTGTGAAACCATAGGAAGATGGATGTACAAAAGAGTGACTGTGCAAGGCCCCAGTATTTAATGCAAGTAATATCTGTTCTCTTCGGTTTTAATAAATTCCGTATGTCAGTAGAAATCTAGAATATATTGCAATTGACCATGTTACCAAAAACTCTCATTGTTTGTGAGTGACTTGTTTGTGGGGAGATTACCAGTGGAAAATAACTGTAAGTTCAATAAGAGATAGATATCAAAACTTAGCATGATCTTAACTGAATAATTTGGCATTGAACTATTTGGAAGGAATGTTCTAATGGATCACGGTCCTGAAGACAACTTTCAAAATTTTCCTCACACTTATAGCTTCACATCCCAATAGCGAACATAACCAACCATCCGAGGTCATATTATTTGAAATTAAGCCATCAAAAGTCATATTATTCTTCCTCTCACGTACAGTAGCTTCACATTCCAGTAGAGAACATAATCAATCATCCGAGGTCAAATTATTAGCACTTGAGACATCAAATTAGTCAACTATCTGATGACTGTGCGAAGGGCAGCTGAGTACTCGCCACCTGGTGGTGGAGCCAAGGTTGGGCCGGGCCCCAGACCAACCTAGGGCGGACATGCTAAACAATGTCAAACAAATGCTACCATCGTCCTCAGGATTCCGGTGTTACGACCCAGGCCACGGCCTGGCTTTTGGCTTCAAATAACCTTACCAGTGTCAATATGCAGCAATTACAAGTATTTGAGGTTTCTGGTATCTACTCACGGTTGGATAAATCAGTGTTCAGTTCATCTTTTTGATCTATCATGGATAACTTATGTTGAGTAATGCATTAGAAATCAATGCATTAGGTTACGAAAATCATGTATTAGAGTTTTAGGTACGTAAATTATTGCCATTTTTTCGTCATCAATACGTGTGTTTGGAGATATTTGGTCTGACTTTACGTGACCCAGTTCATGTGGTAAGTTTTGTTTCGATTTGGGAAGATAATTAATTACTATCCTTGGTAGGATATAGAAGAATTATTGCTCATTTGTTGGTAGTGCTCACTGTTTATTGATGAGTTATGTTTACCATGCACAATGTGATTTGAGATTTCTTGGTAGGAGCTCCTTTTGTTCTTTTCACATGAGTGGTGAACATCCAAAACTTGCATCACTCTGTTCTGCTTACCATACGGATTGCCCACTTACCCTGTTGTCCATGAGATTATTTATAATAATTGGCGAGTATTGTCATGAAAGCTGCATATAGTTAAGAGCTACACTTGGGGTGTAGGTTCTTTGATACTCTATATCTCTGTTAAGAGTTCACTGTTGGTGTCTCTGCTGTGGATGTTAGTACAGTTCATCAAAGAAGCACCAGTTTCATTATGACTGGCTAATGGTCACATGTTTGTCAAGGACTTGGACTGGAAAGGAGGAGAGTTAATAGGATTAGAAAAGATCTCAGTTTAATAAGGAAAGATCTAATAAGTCTAATTGTATTGTCCTATTAGGACTTACGAGAGGTCAAGGGCCTAATCATCCACTATATAAAGGTGGCATATATTTATCTACGTTTGAGATAGGCAATAACAGACAATCTACTCGCTCAAAGTTATTCTAGTTTCAAACTATGTCTACCCAGTCACCTGTAGCCATGCTGGCTATCTTCAGCACGGTAGTTATCCATTGCGAATCAAGGTCCACAACAGTCTTGGTCATTTCTCTCATTCTCTTTTGTTGGTTTTGGGTTGTGGCCCTTGGATTGGTGCGTTATAAGTATTTTTCATCATAAAGGCGAATATCACCTTATTCGAAGTTCCAGAGAAAGTTGGCGACCTTATGGCCGACCTTAATCAAAGCCATATGAATTGTACGGTTGTGATAGGTGTGGAAGTAGTGGAACCAATCCTTCTAATGCAATGCTACAGCACATTTGAATATGGGTAGCAAAGAGCGCTTGTGCTCCAACTCAGACCAATCAACTTGACACCTGCACATCACCTCCTTGACTCGTACTATCCACTATGAGGACCATGCCTGTTGGCACAATACCCTTGCCTCATGGCTTTGTTATAGATAGTATCTTCTAAATGGAATGAGGCAGAAGGAAGCATCCGAAAAGGATGGAAACCTAGAAGTTTGTAATTTTGTCAAATGAGTTTCCAGATAGAAGCCTTGTGAATATTTTCTCACCAAACATCACTGTTTTCTTTGCTGCAGGGGTTTGATGTTCGCGGCGCTGTTCCATTCGGTTTTTGCAATGCTGCCCTTAATGTTGGCATATCAGCAGGGGTGATTCTACCTTTGAGCAGAGGATTTATGGAATTGCCTTCACCTGTCCCTGATAGATTTTACCTAGGAGGTCTTTCTTCCCCTGTATGCAGCCTTGGTGTGATATCATCTCTGTTGGGTTTCAAAACAAGAGGAGTTGGCCCATCCGAACCACAGAGATCTGTCCCAGGCGAGTCAGTTACGGTCGACGCTGCTGCCTCTACAGGGAGGGATTACTTGGGAGGCGATCTTGCTGTTTCTGCATTTGCTGATCTATCCTTTGATTTGCCCCTAAAGCTGTTCAGAGATAATGGAATTCATGGTCATGCATTTCTTTGTGCTGGAAATCTTGCCAAGTTGTCTGAGGGTGAGTTTAAGAATTTCTCATTCCCTGAGTTTCGGCGCACATTCAGAAGCTCTGCTGGTGTTGGCATTGTCTTTCCAACCTCACTTTTCTGGATGGAGGTATGTTTTGAGATCTCGATCTTTCATTATGCAATCCGTAGTGTTTGTTGGGTGACTAACCCATGCTAGTGGGCTTCATTGTTCCAGTTAAATTACTGCCATATCTTGAAGAAACATGAACATGATCATGGAAAGAGTGGAATTCAGTTCAGCTTCTCCTTGGAGTAGATGTTCGAAAGTGGAGCAACATTTTTGACCTGTTGAAGAATTAATATTGCGTGCTATTGCACTGAACCATTTATCTTCGTCGCCGAGTCAGCTGTTTAACAAGTACTGTAGGAGACTAGTTGATCCCGTCATCCGATATATTTGACTTCTCGTGGTATGATCGAGAACTGGAAGGGTGTTGGATGCTGTATTAAATTATTCGATTTCACGGTGTTGCCATGTTTTGAAGTTGTCTTATTGGCTCGGTAGAGATTACGCTGTTGCTTTAAATTGTGATGGTTGATACTGGATAGAATATTACTACATGTTGTTATGTTGGCAGGAGTTTTACACCATGGAGTTGGGAGGCCCTGCTACCTGTATGCATGCTTTTTATTCTGACCATTTTAACTGATATGTGTGTGCTCTATGGAATAGTGCGTGTTGGCAAGTGTTGTGTGGTGGAGGTCTGAAGAAAAGCTCCAGTGTCAGGCCGCGCAAACAGCTGGTGAACTGAGCAGAAATCAGTTGCACATCTCATCAGGGTCCTTTGGTTTCTCCGGGTTTTTGTTTTGTTTTGAAAAAGCTATCTGTTTCTTGATTCCCGCACCTCAAATGCACATGAAGCCTCCTTGACCTGTTGATTCATCTGATCCACTATGGTCATGGTCACTCTGTTTGCTACTAGTTAGCTTTGTATTGTACATTTGCACTACATAGTTGATCACTCTACATCAAATGACCAACAATCGCAAAAGTTCCAACTTACTCCCTCCGTAAATGCTCTCATATTTTTTTACAGAGGGAGGGAGTACATGCTATCACTAGATCATGTCGTCGTATCATCATGGCAGAATCTACAGGTCAGGAAGGGTTGGGTGTCGGCAGCCTTCATCGGGACTTCTCAAGTACAGTGGCCAGGTAGGCGTCCAGCTTCTCGTTCTGCTCCCTGGCGACGAACCTGATGCAGATGGGCGGCGTGACGTCGTACCTGGCGAGCAGCGCATAGGGGATGGAGAAGAGCCCGTCGCCGCAGATGAGCCCGGACGCCAGCACCGGCCCGAACACCTGCGCGCCGTCCCTGTCCGACCTGGTCCACAGGTAGAGCACCAGGCTGCCCACGCACATGTCGATGGCCACCGCCGGCACCAGCAGGAACGACATGGCCATGCCGGTGACGCTCGGGATGAAGTTCCTTGCGCGCCACTTGTAGTGCACCGCCGCCTCCCGCAGCGCGCACACCACCAGTGCCAGCACGAAGAAGCCCACGCTCATGCTCAGGCAGTGCCTGGGCAGGTCCAGGTCGCCGACGCCGACCACGGCGATGGCCCGGTAGATCTTGGCCAGCGGCACCTGGTAGATCTTGTTCCCGGCCTCCTCGTAGAAGTGGTGGAACACGGTGAACACGGCCGGGTTGACGACGCAGCCGATGCCGGTCCCGATGACCTGGCTGACGAAGAGCGCCCGCGGCGAGGTGAGCGTCAGGTACCCGGTCTTGAAGTCCGACATGAAGTCGGAGGCGGTGGAGACGATGGACGAGACGACGCCGCAGATGACGAGGCTCCCCACCACCCCGCCGTTGCCGTACCCGATCCACGACGCGAACAGCAGGATCACCAGCTTGCTGTACTGCGCCGCGAAGTTGGTCTCGGCCACCCCCGTGCCGTAGGCGTTGCAGAAGGCCAGCAGCGGCGCGAACACGTACGCCGTCGCCACGTGGTAGTGCCGCACCTGGCCGTAGAGGTGCGGGATGGCGACGGTGGACAGCAGCGCCAGCGCGGCGTAGCCGCCCATGGCGAGGGTGCCCGGGACGTGCTCCCGGAGGAACACCTGCGTCCGGCGCCGGTCGTCGAAGCTGAGCACGTTGCGCGGCACCGCGTTGGCGTCGGAGAAGGACCGCAGCGCCTCCGCCGCCTCCAGCTGGTGGTGCCGCATCGTCTGCAGGGTCCTCACCATGATCACCACCAGCTGGAAGATGCCGTCGCCCAGGATCATGCCTATGGCGCCAAACACCTGAAATTACATCACCAGTCGAATAGAGCGTGCGTGCGTGCATGTCTCGTCGAAATCTGTCGGTCGATCAGAAACCACGCACCTTGTACCCGTTGATGCCACGCAAACTGCCTTCCTGGAGATCGGCGGCGTACCAGCTCCCCTCTTTGGTTTCGATGTAGGGCCACATGAATCCCCAGGAGATGATGGCCCCGACCAGCATCGAGATGTTTATCAGGTAAGGGCTGATCATCCCGACGCCGACGTATGTTCCGTTCAAATTGAGGTAGAAGCTGCATGCAAGTATCACACAACACAAGTAGCTCTCACTGATCATCTCTAGCAAGTAGTTCTCAGTTGGAGCGCGACATGTAGAAGAATGGATGGATAAGTTACCCGCGATTGAAGGCGTCGAGCCCAAACGAAGGGAAGAAGGTCATGCCACAGTGCGGTCCGCCGGAGTAAAACCATTGGAAGATAGACATGAAAAAGCTTCCCAGGCACGAGTGGATCATCAGAGACACTTGCTTCCTGTGTTAAGAAACAGAGGCACTCCAATCGATTACCCAACCCAGCATTATCTTATCTTGTTGCTTGCTACCGGAGTTGAGCATGAGCAGTAGCTAGGTTTCATGTGACTTAGTAGCTCCGTACGTGCTTACTTTGCTTGCATGGCTCCGTAAGGGGTATGGAAGCTGTTGATGAGATGAGCCGTAGCTGAGCCGCTCGGAAACGTCAGCCGGTGGCGGATGATCATCGTCTACACGTTAACCGGCCGGCACAGTATGAATGCGTCAGAGAGCTAGTAAGTTAAGGCGCAACGTACCGACGTACGGTTCAAGTTTCATCTCATTGGGGGCGCACGTAGGTAGGTACCTTCCTCATGGGGATAATGGCGAGAATTCCGACGAAGCTGATGAGAAAGTAGAAGGCCATAATCCGGGGAAGCGTCGGCTCGCTGACGTTTCTGCCGTTGACCTCGCCGGTGTTGATCTTCTCCGCCGTCCTATGGTCCATGGCGAGCAGGTACGACCCGAACCCTCCTAATAATTAACAAGGGCGCAAACATACGCGAAATCAAGGGACTGGCCGGCCGAGCAGAGATTCATGGACGACGACCGATCGACGTGGCAGGCGAGGCGAGGGGTACCGCTGTAGGTCATGCTGGCGCAGGCGACGACGCAGGTCTGGACAACGACGTTCTCGTGGCGGGTGAAGGGTTCGTAGAACACGCCGAGCTTGTCGAGCAGGCGCGTCCACGCCTTGAGGAGGAAGAACCCCAGAAGGCCGGCGGTGATGTTGAGCGTGGGGACGATCCCCGACGTGAACACCAGGTTCATCATGACGCCGCTGAAGGCCGCGCCCAGAACCAGGCTCGCCACCACGGCGCGCGGCGTCACCTGCTCCGTCCATGGCGGGATGGTCTGGTCCTCGAACGCGCGCTCCGTCGACGGCCCCTCCCGCGGGTCGCCGATCGGCTCCATCGATTATCGTCCCACGGCCTAAGATTGCCGGCCTCTGAGGAGGGTGTCGATCGCGCGGGTTGTGCATGCATGCATGCAGTTGACTATTTGGGAATGGAGGAGGGACGAACGAACATGAGGGATGCATCGTTTGGCTTCTGCGATTACTATTATTGACGCGCTAATGAGAGTGGCCTGTCCAAGCAGGGACAGAACCTTCTTCATACTCCCGGAACAACATTACAGAGGGGATCAATATAAAGAGTGGTTTATCTGTCATGCACGGGAGATCCTGTGCATGGATCCATCGTTCGTGATTGCTCTGAGATCCGTACCATACTTTTTAGGTTGTCAAAATTTACCTAGTTCTAAAATGTTTCGTTCGGTTTTGTTTGTTTCAACGTGTTTCATCATGTTCCGTTGTGCACAAATAAAAAATAATGCACTTGTTTTGAATCGGGTTTGCTGATACACTGTTATACACAATGAAGCATTAAGATGTAATTTGAAACTTGAAGAAAAAACCAACGTAACTCTTTGAAACAGACAAATTCTGGGGATACTTGGATGCATTCCTTGGATAGTACGTGAGCAAGGCCTCCTCCTCCTCCTCCTTCAAGAAAGAAAGTTAGGGTTTGTGCCTCTCGCTGGCGCCGGCGCAGGTCCGTCTCGTCTCCGATGGCCCTAGGACCATGGAGGCGCGGTGGATCCTGGCAAGGGCCGGCGGGAGGGCTCCGTTTTTAGTCGTTTTTTTCAATCTTGTTAGGGTTTGTGTCCTATTCAGGAAGGCGAGACGGCGGCGGCTCCCTGAAGATGGAATAAAGGTCTCCCCGCCTAGCCCCCGTTTCGGCGGTGCGTCGAGCATCGTTGTTGGGCGTGTGGAGGTGTGTCTCCGGCAGATCTATCTTTGGTGGATTTGCTCGGATCTCGTCGTTGTTCGTCTATGTTCGTGTGCCTTCGGTTTGGATCCTTCCTGTCTACGTTATTTTTCATCGGCGAGGGTTGTTGTTCTGGGGTGCTGGTCCTATGGGGTCTTAACACGACGACTTCCCGACTGTCTACTACAACAAGTTGTGCCCGGCTCCGGCGATGGAGGGGCGATGACGGCGGCGCGCCTTCGACTCGCTTCGGTGCTTGTAGTCGTCGCTAGGTGGTCTATGATTCTGGATGTAATTTTTATTTCTAATATTCGTTGTACTGCTATGATTGAAGATGAATAGATTGGAAGTTTTCAAAAAAAAAAGAAACAGACAAATTCTAAAAACAGCAAAAACGGGACATGAATCTCAAAGCAAGCGGCGATGGTGGATCCATGCACAATAGAATAGTTATTCTTCATATATATGTAAAAAAATATGCATTTTTGTTTTAAACAAATATAAACGTGGCACTATCTGAATCGATCAGATTGCCGGGTGTCCTGCTCTTTGTTGAGTGTCCGCATTCAACAAAGGCCTCCTAAGAGCATCTCCACTCGTTCGGCCCCCCAGTGTATAGGCCGGCGCTCTTTCAGGCGCTCGCGCGGCGGTTTTTAGGCCCTGAGGCAATCTAGGTCCCAGCCACACC